GGAGCCCAGCTCCGGCCGCCGCGCCGGCCCGCAGCAGCGCACATTCATTTCTTCTGAAGAAACTTCATTTTATTTCCTGCGGAGAAAAAACAACATTAGGAGCAGCAGGCGCTCCAGGAGTCATCTGCCTGAGGAATTCTTAAGGCAGAAATTCCTGCGCGGCCACCCCTGCTGCCAGACACGACTTCTGCCCCCGAGTGTGTTCTCAGCCAAGACCAAAGTTAAGAAAGAAGTTTAGACAGCTCTAGGACTAGGCAACTTCCACAAATCTAAAGATGCAAAAGCTTAAAAATAAAAGAGAAACCTTACAAAGTGTTCGGTATCCCCTGCAGGGGCAAATGTAAAGAAAAGGAACACAAGTGCACAGGCAAAGAATGGGCCCTGCTCTCTTTTGCATGCAATTATTTGTTCAATAGCTAAATATATTTAAAAAAAAAAAAAAAATCAACAAAAAGCAAGGGTGTCCTACCAAGACTACGAAGGATTTTGTTCATTCCAGTTGGTTCCGTCTCTGGAATACTCTCCAAATACTCCAAGGCACGGACCTCAAAAAGGCCTGAAGAGAAAAAAAAAAAAAAAAAAAAAAACAAAAAACCACACACTCACCTAGATGAGCTATTCCATCTTTTAGCACGTGGCATCTTATATCATTAACAAGGTTACAGAAAGGAAACCATGCATGTAATGTAAGCTGCAAGGATCAAGCCCAGAAAGCAGAGAGATGCAAAAATTCTTTGCTTCATAAGATGAATTTTGTTGAGTAATTAGAAGGGCATGGAGCTATTACATATGCCAAAATGCCAACAGGATAACTTCCCAGGACAAAAGACTTCTTAAGAGTCAAAGTCACATGACATACTTTGAAAGTGAGTTGTAAAACAAGAAAGTAAGATCAAACCTCACCTTTGACCACGTTCTTACTTAGCTCTCGATCCTGTATGAACCCTGCAAACATCTGTGTTTCCATGAAGAAGTGCAAGAAATGACGCACATTGCGTGACACATGAGATTTACGGAACAGTTCCCGCTGAAACACCCGCTCCCCCTTTTCTGTGACACTCATGTGCAGGGAGTAGTGTCCAACGACCTCCACAAAGAACTGCACGAAAGCTTCTGAGACCAGGGAGTTAAGAGGCATGTCTCCTGTGAAGAGGACAACAGAGGAGAGATTTCCCTCTACATCATCACTTCGGTCATTCCTTTTCCAAAAGAGGAGCAGCAGTTACTTTTTAGGCTGGCTGTCCCAGACGATGAAATTTCAGATGAGTGTTTGATATCAAAGAAGCCACAGCTCAAATATTAAGACTTCTCTCCCATGTCAACTTTCTGCTGCAGCTGAGACAGGCTCCATTCTAAAGCTTTTCCAGTAGTTAAAGCATTCATAATTTCTTTTCCCCTGTCAAACACCTAGTGTCTAATAAGCTGTAAGCTCGTAACAGTCTAAGTTTAATTCTCTTAAAGAATTAGGCAAATTAGAGAACACAAACACACTGGAAAACTAACTTTGTTACTTCTGATGTGCATGGAATTACATAATTTGCTGATGCCATTCTCTCAAGCTACTGAATGCTTTTTAAAATTCTCACACTCATTTATCTGACAGATTATGTATAAGCAGTTCAACTTTGAAAATGATCTGTCAGATTACCCTCTAAAGTACACAAACTTGCTATGTTCTCTATTTAAGAAAAACATTCTTTCTGCCACTTAAGAGAAATCAAAGAAAACTCAAAGCATGGGAACTGATGGACTTGGCCCAAAGAAAACTAGAGATCTACACATACTGATTGTGAAAAGAGGAACAATTGTTAGGACACCAGATTTCTTTCTAACGTATTCACAAGAAAGATGTTCTCAGTAAGATCACAGGAAAACAACTTTCTAGAATGTCACTTCCTAATGCTTATTTCCATTCACTCATTTTTATATCAACTACATGGAAGCTGTAGAGATTTGCTAATGTGAAAACACTTTTCCACAGAAGTACCTTGTGCGTCACTCTGCTCGTGTGACAAGATTTCACTTCGTTCTTCCAAGATTTGTACAAGTGCAGCCTGGAGTTTATGAGGCAGGATCTCATCTTCATCTGACACCTAAAAAGAAAAATGGCCATGAAAGCATTTTTGTGTTGAATCTATCATCAGTAGAACCTTCTGACTGTGAACAGATGAGAAATACTCGTAACATGCCTAGAGCACTTAGAGGGAAGTTACTCTGTGATATGGTGTATCTTGGTGGAGACAATGCATTTATCTTGCAGCTACAGAAATGAAAAACGCTTGCTCAGCATCCTCCAACTACATACTATTAGAGTCACACACACAACTGGCCAACACAGAACAATGTGTGCTATATCCACAACACAGACTCAGGCTTATTATACTGGTGATAAAACACACAAGAACAACAAAATCCTACTGAGAAAATATGACAAGTCTCAACATTATGGTTAAAAATAACCAATCTTTTAATACCTTTCTCCAGTTGCAGGCTGCAATGCAAAATAGAACAGTAAGGCAAGGAAAAGGAGATGCAAATATCCTCCTGAACTAGTAATACTCCAGTATGTTTATAGCTACTTGTCTGGTGATGAAGAAGCACATTAGGTAAAGTTCAGCAGAGAACCACAAGTGAACTGTGATAATTTGTCTCCTAGACTATCAGTCCTGGAAGAAAAAAAAAAATCAAAACCAACAAACACACCCCAGCTAGATGAGAAAGGAGAAAGCTCTGTAGAGAACAAATACGCAGGCAAGACAGCCAGAAGGCAGCAAAGAATCCTACTGGTCCACTTCACATAATGAACCAACTAAGTATCTGTTTTTAAATTCAGCTCCGGTAAGCAGCATCTTTGGCTTCGCAGAGCTTGGTACCTCATGCAATCCCAATCTTGCAACAAAGATTTGTGAGCCTGTTCCCTTCTCTATAGATCAAAAAGGAATGCAAGATGTTTCTTCAGCCACTGGGGTCTACCTATGAATACTAGCTTTTGCTGATTTCTTGTTTTCATTTTCTTTCATTGATGCCTTTTCCTGGCATATAACCATGAGTGACTGGTAGTTATTTCACTCACCTCTTGCAAGAACTTGTCAGCACAAAGATCAACAATCAGAACCTGGGGAAAGATGTACAAAACATACTGACTCTTATAACCAGGTACGTTGCTGTACAGAAAAAAACACTTTTTTTTTAAATGTCCCCAGTGGCAAGGGATGTCACACATGAAACACAAATTTTGCATAACTGCAGCCTGTCTATAAGAACAGTGAATATTTATCTTTGGTAATAATGGAACACCCTGACATGTATCTGGCAAGTTCACCAACTGTCTCAGAAAAAGGTCTAAGAGTTTATATGAAGACAGAATCCACAGAGATTATGCCAGAGAGGTCAGCCTCATACCACTGACATCGTCCCTCCACCGTGCTTCACCCAATTCTCACCTCTTCTATGGGCAGGTCCTGGAGCTGTGGTAACGAGCAGGAGAGAATGCCAATTAAGAATGGGGTCGGAGAGCACACAATATCAATCATAGAAGTTGGTAGGACCGGTATGTAGGTGTGTTGCCAAGTGAAGGGATAAAGCGTCGCAACTGCAGCATGACCACATTTAGACAGAGTGCTAGAAAGGCAAGAGAAGCACAGAGTGGATTGTCAATGTCTCGTTCAGTACTCAGCTACAGACACAGGTTAGAAATGCTCAGGGAAAATGTAATTCGTGTATATTGTTTATGCATCAGCAGAAGCCCCATGCATCCACTTTTAAAGTCAGCTATGGGGAGCTAAGAATAGCATCAACCCAGGCTAAAGAGGTAAAGGAAACATTCCCTTATCTCCTCTTGGGTGAAGAGCATACTCCAAATGCTAAGCATGCACATGTTGTGTGGAAAGTCTGCAAAAAGCTTTTAAATGTACCTATTTACAAAAAGTTAGACAAGCTTGCACATGAAACAGGCCCAAACGCCGAAGAAAAAATAGTATCCCTCAGAAAGAACTAGCCACTCAGACTCTTTTTTTACCTTAAGTTGTCAGCAACAAAGATCACCCTCCTTTCCAGCAGGAGAGAGGCAAAGACCTGAATCATGTGAGAGACACTTAGACACTTCAACAGGCATTCGAAGTCAACGTGTTCGAGTCGAGAATCCAATGGACGGCAGAGCTCCATCACCTGAGAGGCAAGCAGAGATGCAGGGCGCTGGAGGAGAAAGCCACGGCGCGGAGCAGGGCCGGACAAGGCAGCCCAGCTGGGGCGCAGAACTGGCGGCTCCGCACAAGTGGAACCCCATGGCCTGGGCAGTCCACACAGGGCATGGCAGAGGACGCCCAAGCAGCTCTTCCTTAAAATGCAGGGAATCACTTCTACAGTCGGTGATGCGACAGGAAGCTGGTTTCTGCGACAGCCTCCCTTCGGACTTTAGGACATTATCTTCAGACTAATTCTTTACAGGCGGCATCGCTCTACCGTGCAGTTTGCAAAGTGCCACTATGCCCCAGGGACACCATCGGCACAGGAAAGCCAGCCCTGGTCTCCGTTACCTCATTTCCTGCTCCCGGCAGGAAACTCCTCACGGTAATCGTGCGTCCAGGAGCAGGGAAAGGCGCCTCCATCACACTGCGCATAAATGGGTGTACTAGGGCTGGGGACATCTCTCGCCTCTTCTCCACTTCATCCAAAATCTGCGAGAAAATACACCAGACGTTGGTTCGATGCCTGCTGGTGAGCCAGAGGAGATACGAGCCTCTGTTAGAGCATCCCGTGCCATGGCTACACGTGAAGGCTCCAACACGGACTCACAGCCCTCTCCCCCCCTCGCTTGGGATCCCTGTGAAAGCTCCTCTCAAATGTCTGAACAATGAAATGGGAATAGATACCTGTGAGTACAACTCTTCATTCTCAAATCCAATCTCCTGCTACTGCAAAGTAATGTCTTGTATGTGATAATCAAATTCTCACAACTAGTTAGAGGAATAAGAGGAGCAACACCCGATCCTCCTCCCCAAGAAATCTTTCTCAAACACTGTTCTAGAAACTCTGTGCTCCAACAATTAGAAATCAGCTTTCGTCATAAGCTTGCCCCTGTATTCTTCTGCAATTAGCTGCCCTTTCCCTGCAGTATCTGTGCCCAGTCCTTACCTCCAGTATCTCCTCTCCTTATAAGTGCTAGGATAAACAAGCTGAGATCTCCCCCCCCAAAAGTGATTTTCCATTTCCAAGTCATGGAAGAAGAGGATGAAGGGGCACCATCAGTAGCATCAAGCACTAGAAGCCACCCCCTGACAATAGTTTGCTGAAGGAATAGTCATCTGTGTATCAGCTAACAAGTCGCAGCACTAGTATCATTTTATTTGCCCTGTCAAAGCAAAGGCAGTAAGGAAGCACCACTCCCCTGGGATGAGTTACAATCGCTAAGCAATTCTAGACTGGACAGAAGCATCCAGTTACTTTCAGGAGCTTGCCGGTTGTCAGAGGCTCAAGTTCGATAAGAAGTAACAGGCTCTCCCCACTTCACCTTGGAGAAGAGGTTGAAGCAGCCCAGGCGGCTAACGATGCAGTATACCTCAGGAAGGCGCTTCCCTTTCCCTTCTGGCTGAAAGGCAACAGGAACAGTTATGCTGAGAACAGGGACGCAATAAAGAACCTGGCACCTACACTGCAGCTGATTCACAGAAGTCCTTCTGCTGTAGTTCCCTCTACACTTCTGACTTAAAAGATTGCTGAGGAATGGCCAGTTCCAAGAGCTGTCTTTCATGCTCAGAGCCCATTTCACTGTATTGCTGGGCATCACCATCCTCCTTCCCTTACGCATTCAAAGGGCTGGTTACCTCAGCAGCAGCAGAGGTGCTATGTAACCCACATGGGAAATTCCTGCCAATTCATGTCTTGCACTTGACTGCACATTTATCAATGCTTTCTTTATACTCCACCCAACACACACATACTTACCAGGAGCTTCTTGCAGTACCCAAACCAGCGTCCGCCATCCTCACCCGTCAACACAAAAGAAAATGTTTCACTGGGGAACCAAAGAACAGTCAGGGTTAAATTCACCATGCAGTTCAGAGAAGACACTGACAAACAAAGCACAGAAACTACAAGCCGTTCTCTTTCTGGTCATGCTGAAGACCCCCTGTTGTGGTTAGCAAGCTACTTTGGGCTCTGTTCAGTCAGTGTAAAAACCTGCAGCCTACGGACTCTCAGTGATCTGCTACAGCTCTCTTCCTTCCCAGCTGCTTCTCCGTTCTGCCAAGGAGCAACAGAAGCACTTGCCAGCCCCAGGAGCTGGCCTTGAACAGACGTTACAAACTTCCTTCTTAGAGGAAAGACAGTGCTCGGGCAGAAGCAGTGCTTCTGAGTCCACCTCCGTATCTCATCTTCCCCTATCACAGGGGTTAGGGATTCAGCCTTTCCCATTTTTCCTTGCTCTGGCTGCAGTTCCTCCGGTCGAAGAAACTGGCACATACCTGAGCTTTCAGCATTGCCTGTTTCAGGCATCAGTATTCAAAAAGTCTTTACCTTTTAAGGTCTGATGTAGGAAACCAGTCTTTGGGATCTGGAAAGCAGAATTTGGGAATGATCTTTAGCCTCTCTTCAGTATCCTTTGACTGTCTGAAGGGATGTTCAGGCTGGAGGGGTAACACATGCATTTGAAGTCACCGAAGTGTGGTGCACAGCTGCAGCATTTAAAACAACGGGAAACAGTATCTTCCTGACACTTCCAAATGCTGAACCATCAGATAGCTAATGCACAAGTATAGGAGAACATATTCTGACTATAACAGATTCCCAGTTCCCTCTGGCATGTTTCCTGCTGC